CATTTATTTATTTTTGGGACAGAGAGAGACAGAGCATGAACGGGGAGGGGCAGAGAGAGAGAGGGAGACACAGAATCGGAAACAGGCTCCAGGCTCTGAGCCATCAGCCCAGAGCCCGACGCGAGGCTCGAACTCCCGGACCGCGAGATCGTGACGTGGCTGAAGTCGGACGCTTAACCGACTGCACCACCCAGGCGCCCCGTCTACTGTCTTTTAGATTCACACTCTCAATCACAGCTCTGGTTTTCTCCATCCCTTTAACTATTTGATACAATTAGACTTTAATAAATGGAGGTTCCACACCTGTAAGGACTCCATTCACAATTTTCCATTTTAATTTTCAGACCTTCGTTTTTCTCTCCATGATTTCCCCCTCTTTTAATTCATCTACACAATAGCCTATCCCCTGTGATACCCAACTTCATGTCCATCGAAATACCAAGAACATATATGGGAAGTAATCAATGAACTTATGTCAAAGTGAGTCCTCTACAATGCCCTATCCCCCAAGTAATCTGGTAAATTTTTTTAAGGTTTAATTTTGAAAGAGCGAGAGAAAGGAGAGAGAACACTAGTGGGGGAGGGGCAGAGAGAGAAGGAGACAGAAAATCTCAAACAGTGCGCAGAGCCTGACACGGGGCTCTACCTCATGAACCTGTGAGATCCTGACCTAAGCTGAAATGGAGAGTCAGACACTTAACTGACTAAGCCACCAAGGCGCCCCTCAAAACTTTCAAAGTGAGGGTGATAAAAGTGCCAGGTAGTATTCCAAGCCCTTTAAATACACTAACTCATTTAGTCTTCATAAACTTTCTGTGAGAATAGTACTTTTATCACTATTTTATCAAAGAAACAGCTGGGGTCCACAGAGGTTAAGCCCCTTGTTCACAGTTACCCCACTAGTAGGTATATGAGGCTGGGTTCATCCCCAAGCAGCCTGGCTGCAGAGCTCAGACCTATGGCCATTAACATATGTTGCCTTGGGGCTCCTAGGTGGCTCAGTAGTATGAGCATATGACTCTTGATTTCGGCTCAGGTCATGATGCCAGGGTCGTGGGATGGAGCCCTGCATCCGGCTCCATGCTGAGCATGGAGCCTGCTTAATATTCTCCCTCTCTCCCTCTGCCCCTCTAGCCAGTTAGTGCTCTTTCTCAAAATAAATAGAAAATAAAATATGCTGCCTCCTGATTACACTGTCCATGACTATTGTGTACGTGCATCTATGTCTGCAGAAACCCTTTGCAAAGCCTGCCTTATTTAAAGTTAGTTATTTGCTCCCCTATTTAAGCACTGCATGCAGCAGAAGGGAGGCAGCAGCAAAAGGCTCAGGGCATGTGTCTAGTTAAACAAGTATAAGGGCAATAAGGATGCCAATCAGTTCCAACGGATGCTACACAAGTGAGGGCAGGAAGCCTCATCCTATTTTAGGGGGTTGTGAGGGAAGACTCCCGAAGAAAGTGACGTTTCTGCTAAAACCCAAGGACAAGCAGGAGTTGGCCAGGCAGTGTGGGGAACGGAAGGAGCAGAATGAGTGTTGGAGAAAGGCACTAACCCCTGAGGTCATGAGGATGGCCAGAACATGCCCTGAAATTTTCCTGCAAAGCCTCCCAATTCCTGGCTGTCACATCCCAAGCTGGTTGACGTGCTGCCCCACTGGCCAAGGTGACATGGCTGTACCGTAGCACCAAGTAAACCATGTGTTATTTGTTTCTCTAGCCAGCTGCTGTCCAGGCCAGATAAGGCAAGTGTTTTAGAGGCATGATTTCATGTAGGCACATCCTAGAATTAAAGTTATTTAGGGATGCCTGCAGGAAAGCTGAAGGAAACACCCCAAAGGCCAACAGAAGCGTGCTTTACTGAATTTACAATGCAGAAAATATTTGTAGTTCCTTAGACATTTGCATTGCTATAAAAATTACACTTTATGGTATAATTATTAATGGTTTGAAGAGAAATAAACAGTATAAGCGAAATATGGCCAATACTATGAAAATGTAAACCATATAAATCAAAATCATGAAACAATTATTCAATACCCAGAGGCCTACTTAATATATACATATGAAATTACTTATACACATATACAATAAAAGCCCACAAAAGCCTTCACTCTGAAGCCGATCACTGTACAAATATGAAAATAAATCTTTATCTTTTAACCTCAATTTTATCTTCAGCAAGAGGGTTGTATGACTTGGGTTTATGCAAATCACATTTGGTATTAAATAATCAAATGTCACATATGTCATATAAAGCAGCAAGTGGAAAAAATAAATTATGAAAATGCATGAGGCTAAAAGTTAACAGTGAAAAATGTCTCCTTATCCAACATTCTTTTCCATGATGAAATTAAAATATTATCCAATGTGTCAGGATGCATAAAAAAAGGAGCATAATAGAATTGTGATTTTAAAAGCTCTCAAAGGAAAAATTGAGTCAAGATGAGTTAGCTGCACAGGACTATGCAATTGTGTCACAATAAGTCTAAGTTAAAAACATTAAATATTTTTTTCTTACCAAAAATACACTGTAACTTTGAGAACACCTTCATGAAATCAAATGTGAGTAATAATTATGATTTCCCACCAATGCAGCTGAAAGAACTTTCAAGTAGCTTTTCTTTAAACAAGATTGCTAACCAAAGCTGTAAGTCTCTAATTTGGATTTTATTGCCAAAATATTTATCTAGGTTCAAATAAAGATGATTGCTTTGTCTATTAAAGGTGCCTTTGTAATCTCCGAATCTATGGGTGTACTAACCATACAATCCAGAGGCAAAAGCGAAGATAATACTTCTGTATCAAAGGTATACTCTAAGTACAGACCGTCATACAAACACAGAGAGACACTTTGGGGGAAAATAAATAAAGGCAACACAACATGTATATTAACACAGTTTTGTGCAACTGCACCAAACACCTGAACATGTGTCCCCTATGTCAACACAGAAGATCCTTTCTAACCTGGGCTCCAAAAAGTGCCACAGAGACAAACAGCAGTGGCCAAATCTGCATCTCACCATAGTCCCAAAATAACCACCTCCCTGCCCTGTTCCATTTGACAAGCAAGGCATTCTTTTCAGTCAAAACTATAAACTTCTTTTTCTGCAACCAAAACCACACAACAGAAATGCATGGTAGAGTTGCTGAGGATAGATCAAACTTTCCAGTGGGGGGAGGGGGGAGGGGGGGCTAGATGTCAATAGAGAAAAGGCAAGCTTTTCAAAGCTAAAGGATGCTGTGGTTATTTATAACCTGTGTGTGTAACATATCTGTCAGTTTTCATTTAAAAAAAATGAAGCTAGGGAATTTAAGGTTTGATCATAAAAATCATAAACAGGAGAAAACTGCTACATGGGATTCTTTTAATTCAGCAAAAAGGAACGTTATTAGCTCACATAATACCATAAATAACCACTATTCTTTAAGTTTTTTCAGCAGACTGCTTGGAACCTGGACCTATATGAACCAAGGTAAGTTCAAACGTCTGATTGGAAATAACTTAATTGGTTCAAGACCACTGAAAACCAAACACCAAAACCAGGCTTCTCTCTAGGGTCAGGTGTCGACTCTCTCAGCTGCTAGCGACATTTCGGTGGAGAAATCTGGGAGGCACTGCAGGTTCTAGAAGAGCAAGGCCAACCAAGATGTTGGTGAGGAGGAGTCACTAGTCACATTCAACAAAGGACTTGGACTTCCCATTCCTAAGGACAATTCCTCTTTTGAAGAGTTGAGTTTCCAAAACCACACATTTCTATCACTGTTCATTATTTCAGGAAGCAAATGCTGGCAACTAGGGAGTTGAGGGATTTGCACTGTATTGGAGATTATGTTTGTAAACCATGGGAAGGTAGGAATCAAGCATGCACATTTTCATTTGGCAAAATGTTAAATTGTTTCTACTGGTAGTGTTTTTTTTTTTTTTTAATGAGGTATAATTCACATGCCATAAACTTCAGCCATTTTAAATTATATAATTCAGTGTTATTTTGTATATTCACAGTTGTACAACCATTATCACAATGTAATTCCAGAAAATTCTCATCCCCCAAAGAAACCACATACCCATTAGCAGTCACTCCCAGTTCCTGTATGTCCCCAATCCATGGTCATGACTTACTGGTATATATTTTTAAGTAAAGAGTGACAACTTTCCTGGGCATTGCATTTTTAGTAGTATGTGGCCTCTTAAATTTTCATTAGAATTTTTAACATTGACTCTAAACCATGGATTTTGTAAGTATTCTGAGATTACAGTACCATTTTTTTCCAACTCTTTGTCACAAAAAAATGTTTTTTTCTTTATATATATAAAAAAATAGATTTTTCTGTCTCCACTGGAGCCTAACACATTACCATGTTTTTTCTCAAGTTCTGTTGTTTCAGAAATGAGAAAAGTCAATATCCCCAATATTTAAAAAGTACAACCAACCAGAGTCCTTATTAACTGTGGGCCAGCAGGGGCTCCTTCCCGCTCCTTACAGCGCACAAAATCTGAGAGGTCAAGGCCCGCAAGGCCAAGATGCTTGTTTCACAGATGAGGAAACAGATCTAATGTGGGTTGCTGACAGATCTCAGGCCACAGGCTAGTTAGCAGTAAAGCTAGGATGGTAACCCCTTTTTACTAATATTCTATTATCGAATATTTGAAATAAAATTTTGTCATGGATTATCTACAAAGTCAGCTACACATGAATCTAATTATGTCAGTTTCTTCTACAGCTTTGATCTGAGCAGGTGACTTTTTTTTTTTTTTTTTTATCACTTTTTACACATTATCTTGGAGACTCTGCAAGGACAAGTATATTTAACCAGGGGGCCCAAATCATTCACTGAAACATAGCAAAAAGCCAGGGCTCCAGAGAGATCTAGAGCACGATTCAGACTCCCACACTGTAACTTCCCACAGGCAGTGTCTGTAGGATGTACCACTCTGCAAGAAGCAAACAGGTCATGGGAACTTAGCACTCTGGGACTTGAGAGGCCAAGGATGTGTGGGATTTAACTACTGCAACAGTTCTTCATCTGGGTTGACTTTTTGGAACTGGTCCCGCTCAGATTGGTAATGGATTTGCTGTCATCCTCATCAGTTCTTTTTTTCACTTCCCTGGGGGAAGGGGGAAAGGGAGGGAGGGAGATAGGAAGAGAGAAAGAGAAAGAGAATGAATTATCGAGGTACAAAACCGAACCACAAATGGCTTTGTAGAAATAAAAACAACACTGCTGAGCATTTGCTGTGTGCCACCCAGACCTTGTGGTAAATGCTTTATAGGTATTGACTGTCTTAATCCTCACCAGGACCATATGAATTTGTTGTGCCCCATTTGATATATGATGAAACCAAGGCAAAAAAAAAAAGGTTAAGAAATTTCCCTTCAGTCAGGCAGCTGGAGGAGACACAGAGCTGTGCTCTGAGCACGAGGCCACACTCACACGTGCACAAGGCAGGCACACACACATGTGCATAGGTACACACACACACACACACACACACACACACACACACACAGCCTACTCTTGCTCTCTCTGGTGGTTTCATATACTTTATTGTCTCCCGCATGCATAGCTCACTCCTTAATACTCTGGAACCTGGCTTCCATCCCTGACTCATGCTCGCTGACCTTCATGAAAACAACGATAATTTTATAAGCATTCTTTAATTATACATGATCATGGATGTCGTGATGAATGTTTAAGTTAAAATCCAGAAAAAGAAAAATCTTCCTAAATTTCTCTTAGAATTAACAGCCAGAGGCAACAATGACAAAAGATCTGTAAAATCTTGCAAAAGTCTCCTAGGGAAAGATCCTTCCACGTGTATTCCTTGGGATGCTCGTGAAACATGCAGGGACCCTGAAGTCCCACCTGAAACTACTAAGGACTGGCATATTCCTAGTACAGCAATATATTTCAGTAGAAATAGAATATAATCCACATATGCAATTTTAAATTTATTAGAGACCACATCAAAAAATGTAAAAACAAACATGCAAATTTAATTTTATTAATATATTTGATTTAAATGAGTATAGCAAATATATTGTTATTTCAACATTTATTATCAATAAAAACAGTAATGAAGTATTTTATAATTTTTATACTGTCTTCAAAATCCAGCATATACTTAATACCTACAGCACATCTTAATTTGGGTTAGCCACACTTCTGGAATGTCTGAATTGGTCAGCACAACTCCAGAAGGTGCTCATTTTTGCTAATAACTTTTGAAAACCACTATACTGTGAATTCGAAAGAAGATGCCTCAGTGGAAGAAAAAAAGAGAGAGAAATTAATTCTTGCTGAAGGCCAGCTAATAAATGCTAGGCTTTACGTTTTTACATTTTTCTTATCTAATGCACACTCACATGCACACAACATAAACACACATGCAACCCTGACAGGTTGACAGGTGAGTACTATTATCCTCTCTCCACAGGTAAGGAAACAAAGACTCAGGATAAGAAGGAAGAAACACGAGCCAACCTAGAACAGCCCACGAGACTCATTTCAGACTTCTGACCACCAGAAGCGGAACATGATAAATTTGTACTGCTTAAGGGACTACGTTCGTGGGAGTTCATCACAGCAACAACAGGAAAGTGATACAACTTCCAACTGCATCATCTCAGACATTTGGTCATTCAACAAACTCTGGGACCCTCTCTGTGAGCTTTGAGGGGGAGAAAGTCTAAACAAATCATTACAAGGCCCTGAGAGAGCTGTTAATGCCCATACACAGTGTGATGTGGGAATACAAAGGGTATACCACAGTCGTGCTGGCCTGCAGGAAAGGAAGGCTTTATGGAGACAGCTTCATGGAGACTTTGACAATGGAAGGATCTCTTAAAAGGACAGGGATTGAAGGGTTCCTGGGTGGCTCAGTTGGTTAAGCATCCGACTTCGGCTCAGGTCATGATCTCAGTTTGTGAGTTTGAGCCCCATGTCAGGCTCTGTGCTGACAGCTCGGAGCCTGGAGCCTGCTTCGGATTCTGTGTCTCCTTCTCTCTCTGCGCCTCCCCGACCTGTGCTCTGTCTCTCTCTCAAAAATAAATAAATGTAAAAAAAAAATTTTTTTTAATTAAAAAAAAAAAAAAGGACAGGGATTGGCCTTCAGTTAATGAGGAAAGGAGAGTCCAGGTGCAGGGAACAGCACGCATAAAGGCAAGGAAACATAAAAGAGCCTGGCCACAACTAGAAATAAAGTTTGACTGTGTCCACAGATTATCACTCCTTTGGGAAGCAAGATAAGAGATGCCACCAGAAAGGTAGGTGAGGCCAGGCTGTGAGGGTTTAGACATGTTGGATACAGTCATGCCTTCAGAATTTCTACTTGTTGATGGGTTGGGGATGTGGTTTTGGAATTTTAAAAAGAAGTGGAGGTTAAAAATACAGAAAGTGGAAGTCACCAGCTAGAGACAGTTCTAGAAACACTGGGGACAGAAGGCATTAGGTGGAGAGAGAGTAAAGAAGAGTATGTGGAATGCAATCCTGAGACTGCCAACACTGAAGTGACAAGCCTACGCTTCAGATTCACGTGACAAGTCCCAATGATGCCACTTAGTGGCTGTGTCACTTTGAGCAAGTTGATCAAGCACTCTAGTTCTCCATTTTCTGATCTGTAGAATGGGTATAATAATCATAGCACCTTCACAAGACAACTCCTGTCTCTCCTTCTGGGGGTTCCAACAGCCTCTATCAGCTACAATCATCTGGCTGCCTGGTCATATGTTTCTTCTTTTCCTCTCATGTTATTATTTTTTTGTTTTCAGAGACAGGGAGAGAGAGAGAGAGAGAAAGAGAAAGAGAGAGAGAGGGAGAGAGAAAGACAGTATGAGCAGGGGAGGGGCAAAGAGACAGAGAGACACAGAATCTGAAGCAGGCTCTAGGCTCTGAGCTGTCAGCACAGAGCCCGATGTAGGGCTTGAACTCATGAACCGCAGGATCATGACCTGAGCTGAAGTCGGACGCTCAATCGACTGAGCCACCCAGGCGCCCCTCTTCCTCTCATGTTAAATTGCATGGCCTGTCTCATATTTATTTCCTCGGTATCTTTACTGAATCATGTATGGGGCCTCCATGGGCTGAATGCTCATATAATGCAGACATTATAGAACGTGAAAACAAATATTAAGGAGGAAAAACATGTACCCACATTTTTTATCCGGCCTTCGGGTTTCTTTAATCGATCATAAATGCAGGCATGTCCCACTTTAAGGAAATCAACAGTGTTAAGGCTGGGAAAACTAGACTATCTCTCCAAAAACTACCACATGCCTAACAGCTGCATTTTAGGTGAGTCAGTCTCATGAATGGATTTACACCCACAGGCTCAGCTCCTCGGCTGAACTGATAATATCAACCTAAGCATTTTTTGTGGGTTTTTTTTTTTTTTTTCAATTTTTAGGCCATTGATCAATTAAATGCCCCTGGAACTTGAATCTAGTGCAAAATGCTTAAAGCTTGTGGTCCTGGTATGGCAAATTCACCTGCCAAGGGATGATGATTGTGACAGATGTCCCGTCAGCATTACAAGGAAACTGCATTTCTAGGAGAAACTTTTCCTGGGATTGAGAGGTTTCCAGAAAAAGCAGTATTAGTAGTTGCAGGTGTTAACCAGACATTTATGGCCTCCTTTCAAAACAGAATTCTGTTTCAGACAGTGCAAATTCATAAACTCTTATAGTACACGTTTTAAGATGTAACACAGTGTGAAAGGGGCCACGACAGGAATTATCTTGTGAGATCCAAATCGAGAATGTGACATGCTTTGGATGATACATAGCTTTCTGAAGGATGAAAAACTTTTAAAAATGATAGTTTCACCTGTGGTGACTCTGCCATTTCAAGACATAGGTACTTTGACAAGCAAATCTGAAGGCAGGATAGAAAGCAAATTCAAGCATTTACACGTTTGCCCTACTTGTAATTTTCACATTTAACACATCGCTAACGTAACTAAACCAGAGGCCTTGCACCAGGCCACAATGCAATAACAACAATAAAAGAACTCCTTGATAAGTGATTCACGAGAAGTGACCTCGTTATCAAAATGCCTCTGCACACAGGTGTTCTAAGGAAAGAAGCACATGGCTGTGCGGATGCTGCATGGTAAACAGGGCGCCGGGCGGGAGCAGATGGGGAAAAGGCACAGGCGGCTCACAGCCTCTCCCATCTTTACAATACAATAAAGGGAATCGATTCTGTGCTCTGGGTGTGACTGTGGCAATTTGGAGTCATTTAACTTTAATATGACCCCGTGAAGACAATTCAGCATTAAACAGTGATTATGGGATTCAGTGGACTACTGGCTATTATACACAGAACCATGGACTGTCAGAACCGGAAGGACCTTGGGGGTCGTTTCCTCCAGGCTCCTTCCTCATTTTACAGATTAGAGAGGCCGAGAGGAGACTCCATGGCTGTGCGAGGGCAGATTTAAGATTGGACTTTGAGCCTCCTGACACTACAGTCTTCCAAAAGCTAGGCAGCAAATGACAGCCTCACAGGGGGCCTGACGTACAGCATCCTTTTCTCCCCACTGCCAAAGCTAAGGCTCCCTCCACCTCCCCTGGGGTTCCAGGTCAGCCTCGGGCCCTGCAATGTTCTGCAGACCTGCAGGCAGGCCCTTCCCACACCCATCGAGCCCAGCAAGTGCATCACCTCCACCCTGGAATCCCCAGGTATACTGCAGTGAAACACCATATGACCACCTGGAAAAGTGTAAACAACTAATAGTTCAGCAATGAATCCATCTTTCGTGCATTTCGCTGAATCTCTCACCACCTCTACTGAGTGAGCCTTCCTTGGTCAAAATGGCAGGAGGCCCCTATGCACACAGAGGTGCACGAAGTCACTTATTTCACCCAACTTACAAAGGTTTTACTTGGGTTCTTGTTTGACAAATATAATACTAGCCCATGATTCTCCCTGCGACTCACAGGCAGAAAACCAAGTAATTCCCCTGAATCTACAAATGTTTAATGCTTACCTTTTTTCTACCTGTTCTAGGTCACACTCAAAGTTAGCACTGCTTTTGCTTTAAACAAAGATGATTTCCAGTGTGGTGGGGAAAGGTGGTTCTCTATCTTGGACTGATAGCAAAGGAGATAATTTTTAAAGACAGGCCATTTAAAATCCTGGGCTAATTTCCTGGGGCAGCTGAGTGGCTCAGTCAGTTAAGCATCTGACCCTTGATTTTTGGCTCAGGTCATGATCTCATGGTTCATGAGATCGAGCCCCACCAGGCTCTATGCTAACAGTGTGGCACCTGTTTGGAATTCTCTCTGTCTCTCTCTCTCTCTCTCTCTCTGTCTCTCCTTTCTCTGCCTCTCCCCACCCCCAACCTCACCCCATGTGTGTGCCTGCGCACTCTCTCTCAAAATAAATAAATAGTCTTAAAAAAAAAGTCCTGGGGCCCATTTCCTGATTCTCTCAAGTGAGGGCAAGGATCTTGCCCAAGGCCCCAGTCGAAGCAGCTAGTAAGCACTAGAAACACCAAGTCATCAATATAAAAGCAGCACTTAAAACACTGCAAGGTATTTTACTTGTCAATGTATATTAGCAAGCCAACTATCCTTCTAAAATTAAGATTCTTGTAGGGGTGCCTGGGTGGCTCAACCGGTTGGGCATCCGACTTCAGCTCAGGTTATGATTTCACAGTCGGTAGGTTTAAGCCCCATGTCAGGCTCTGAGCTGACAGCTCAGAGCCTGGAGCCTGCTTCAGATTTTGTGTCTCCCTCTCTCTTTGCCCCTCCTGGGCTTGTGCTCTGTCTCTGTCTCTCAAAAATAATAAATAAAAACATTGAAAATTTTTTAAAAAAAGATTCTTGTAAAACCTCACAAATGACCAGGAAAAAAAACCTACACAAATTACACTAAAATTATGGCTTTGTCAGTAATTAAAGATCACTGGCCTGAATCTTGCTAATGTACATTTTCTTTTTTTCCTTTCCTTTCCTTCCTGTTTTTTTTTGGATATTTAATTCCTTTAGGCCAGTAAAGAATCATCTTTTCATTTGTGGCAGAAAACTAGGCAAAAAAGAGAGATCTAACAGATAATACTGTTATTTCCTAAAAATTAAATTTACTCCAAGGATTAAAACACTCACATTTACATTCAAGTTCCTCAATGATATAATTTTCATTCTAATCTATATCCCAAAGTGTTATTTATTATTAACACCATTACCTTAGCTTAGTAATTATCTGACTAATAATTTTAACAAGGTGCTTCCAACTGGCATGACATACAATTTGCTTTGTTGAGGTTTTTTTTTTTCCCTTTACCCAGGAAAATGTCATAATAGATAATTTCATAATAGTCTCTTGTGTTTAAAATCTGGTTCCTGGAAATGATTCATACAAGTCAACTATTAGCTTTGCAGTGACATTTTGCAGAAATGTCAACGACACCTCAGATGCACCTGTTTTGTTTGGCAGTAAAGGTACTTTGCCAACATTCACAGTGCAGAGGCAGCATTACCAGTTTTTATAAAATCTGTGCTCAATTGTTTCACTCACCACTACTAAATACAAGACTTGTGTTTTCGAATGTATATTCATGTTACGGTCAAGAAATTTGATACATGCACCAACTACACGGAAATTCAATCCTACTTCCAGTTTTCCAAATATGAGGCAGCACTTTACCGAGCGAGATGGAGAACAGCTTCCACTACATTCGAGCCATCTTTGGCGCTGGTTTCACAGAATAATGCCCCATAGGTCTGTAGAAAAGAAATACACACAATTAAATGAAGAATTCTCTCTCTCTCTCAGGTCTCTTTCTTAGGTCTCCCGGAATTTTAGCTTTTAAAACCAACCAATAAAATAAAAATACTCTTCTGTTGAGGATGTTAATAGCCAAGAAACTGGATTCAGAGTTTCAATGCTTTAAGAAAGAGTGAATCTGAATGTAGTTGTGCCAGAAACAGTTTCTAGTCAGAGGAATTTTATTTTGCCTTAAAAGTAAGCACTGTACACAATTTCATGTTTTAAGGTTCTTCCCACAGTCCTATCGCAGTTGCTACAAATGTTCTCTAAAAGATCATCTGAGAGAAGTAAAAATGATAGTTTAAGGTAACCACTCACGAATTAAATGTCCATCAAAAGTATGTGTCCTTTGGGCCAGCAGCTAACACACATCCCTTCACACTATCATCTTTTCCTATCAAGATTCAGCAACCTCCATGTTGCTAAAACCAATGGACATCTTCTAGGCCTCTATTATTCAACCTCCCAGCAGTTATGTATATGATGATCACAGATCATATTCTCCTGCTTCAAACCTTTCAATGCTTCTCATTCCTCCTCAAGTAACGCTCAAGTGCTTCACCACGGCTGACAATGCAGTCCCAGCCCACCCCCCAGCTTTACCTGCCATCATCTCCCCTCACTCACAATGCTCCAATTACCCTGACCTTCCCTCCATTTCCCCAATGTTCTAAATTCCCTCCTACCTCGGGACCTGTGCACCTGCTGTTTCCCTTACCTGGGTTATGCCCTTCCCCCATCAAACCCCTTCTGCAGGCTGACTCCTACCACCCTTTGGGGTTTTCAGGTAATCTCCCCGGAGGTTAAGATTCAGTGTTGTCTCACCCTGACAAGTTGCTGCACAGCCCTGTGTGGTTTTCCTGCATTGCACTTGCCACAAGTGTAATGGATGAAGTTACTTTTGTGTCTTTGCCTGGAGACAATTTCCCTCAGGAAAGGCCTGGGTGTGGGCAACACTGTCCATGTGGGACAAGGGGAGGATGTAATGGCTGCTCTGGAGCATGGAGAGAGAGAACGACACAATGGGGAAAGATTCCACTCCACAGTGGGACCTTCACCCATGAGCCCCTGTGGATTCCACAGAAAATGCATAAAAAATCACAAAATTCTAGTGGAAATGGGGAGCACTGCTGCTGAGTTCTAGAGCTAGGATGTCAGGGGGTGAAACAGAGATTGCCTCCACAGATGCACAGGGGTAGGGGTCACAAGACACACAGGTAAACAAACCTTGGGAACTCAGAAATCGTGAGATGGGAATAAACCTGGCATATGGCCAGGAATGATGTGCTCTCAAGGGGGTGTGTGGGACAATGTGGCACGCGCATTATGTAAGTTTTACATAAATCTCCCCCAGAAATAAACTACATGAAGACAAGGACTGTCTGCTTTGTGCTCTAGTCTCTGCTCAGCACACAATGAAGTGGATACAATGAAGCGTGTGTTGAATGAATCCCCTCTGTATTTCACTGCCTGGTTCTGATGTTTAGCATGTTAGGCTCACAATTCCAAGATTTAAATCAAGAAATATTTTCCAACTGAAAATAGTGACACTGAAACTCATTGTTCAAGCCCGCATGTCCATGCTACAGGGCAGCTCTTCCATGGTGCTGATGACAGACAACAATGACCACATTATCAGATCAGACTGTTAGGGCATGAATTTATTCGACCCAAGTACCTCTGATTCCTTGTTGGGGAAGGACAGGTCGTGAGAGGGCCCTGGAGCATTCTCACACACTGGTAATAATGGTAGAATAAACACTTCCCATGGTAATAGGCTGGATAGACATGGGCTTCATCCTCTATTCAAGTGCATAACCAAATTTAGACTATTCAACTAAGCACAAATCTTAGAGAAAAAAAAACAACAACAACAAGTTTCCCAATGCTCTTCCACCCAAGTGACACACTGCCCTTTGGCACAGTAAACCTCTGGAACTCAACCACGTTTTCTAAACAGGAAACCCTTCTTTTTCCTTGACATTGATTCCAGAACTACAGGAGTCCAGGAACTGGTAGAGAGTGGGGAGGAAGGCAGGATAACTCTGGCTACTCTTTGTCAATGTTCTCCACTGGAGGATGACCAAGTGGTCATTTTACTTCCATGAGAGGTTTAAATCCTTGGTACAACTACATCCATTAAAGGGAGGTGAGCGGAGTTCTGCCTGAATAAGGACAGGAGACCCATCAAAAAGGATGGAGGTTGGGGTGCCTGGGGGGCTCAGTTGGTTAAGCATCTGACTTTGGCTCAGGTCATGATCTCACCATTCATGGGTTCGAGCTCCACATCGGGCTCCGTGCTGACAGCTCAGAGCCTGGAGCCTGCTTCGGAGTCTGTGTTTCCCTCTCTCTACCCGTCCCCCACTCCCACTCTGTATCTCTCTCTCTCAAAAATAAATAAACGTTTAAAAAAAAGTTTTAAAAAAGGATGGAGGTTTGCCAAAATACCTCTTAAAGTGAATGTAGACAAAAGTGAAGGGCCATAAACTACAAAGCTCATGAACTGCTAAGGTCTATCCCAATAGACCCACTTTTACCCTTACCATGGCTAGCTTTTCTCCAAAGTATCCTGGGACACACTTTTGTCCCTCTGCTGCAGCAGCGTCACGAAGATCAGCCTTGTTTCCCACCAACATGATAGGAATGCTCTCCTGGGTTGCATCCTGCCATAAAGAATAAAATTGTGTGTTCATCAAACACCGAACAAGTTCCACTGACAAGAGCAGCAATACCAACCGCAGCTTCCATTCTCCAAATGCCCCTCGGGTGCCAAGTGACATAGAGGGACGATCTTTAAGCCTCAAAATATCTCTAAAAAGAGTCAGACTTCTTCCCATTGCCAAGTGAGAACACTGAAATTCAGAGAAGCCAAATAAGAACTTGTAAAGGCCCAGGCCACGGTCCAAATGCACTCCACCCCCCCCTCCCCCGCCACCATACAAACCAATATAAACTCAAGAGGCATGACCACAGAATTATATTTGGCTGTGGCGCCCACAGCATTTTCTGCAGCTTTCACTCCAGTGAGCGGTGATGACCAGTCAACTTCGTTATCTCAGGTACAAAACACATAGGAAATCCCTCAGCCATAATGGGATAAAAACAGAGCCTGAGGGCTCCACATGCACTGCTGTCTGGTTTACAACAAAAGCAAAATATGAAGGTTCTAAAAGGTTCATTTTTCTTACAAGAGTTAATTACCAATCATTCAAAGGAATCAATTGTAAGGATAACGCTCCTAAATCAACTTACACAAACTGTACCACCATCTGGGACCACACAAGCTGGCAGAGCGTGAAATGAGAGAAGCACAGCTGAGGCCCCCCCACTCCCACCACCGGGCTGCCGGTGTGGGTGTGTGAAATCAGGCAAATCTCTTCATGTTTCTGCCTCAGTTTCCCCACTTGTAAAATGAAGGAGTTAGTAAGAGCACACCTGACCTCAAAAGGTGCTGATGAGAACAGAGGAAGATGACCTGACCAGCACAGAAAAACAGGGTTCTGGTTCCTAAGCACGAGAAGCAGGAGCCCCGACTAAGGCACATGGGACATGCCCTTTGCAGTGTCTAAGATACGAGGTGTTCTTTCAGTTTGGTGCCCTACCTGTCATGAGATCAAGAAATAAGCATTAAAAATGATGACATTATACCTGACTTCCTTTCTCTTCAGACCATTTTCCTTGCACCAGAGTGTGATAACAGCAAAGGGGGAAAGGAAATAAAAGGCCCTCCCAGAAACTAGGCACTCCATCCACTAACGTGTTAATTAATTGTGCTTCTTGGGCAAACTGCTCAGGTTCCAAGGGGGCACCATTTGGAAGCCATTAAACAAATATTCACTTAAGTAAGCCAAGAACCCAAGCATCCAAATGACTTCCCAAAGTCATTCCAGTAAAGACTGGCAGTTCCTTCAGGTCTTGACTCAAACTTCACCTTCCAGGGAGGCCACGCTGACCACACCACCTGCGGTCCAGTGCCTCATCATCAGGCCCCTTCCCCTGCCCTCTTCTTGTTGCTACAAGATTTGTTATTTTCTACCATTCTATTTATTTTACATATTTATTGCTAGTTATGTTTCCCCTACTAGAGTGCAAGCTCCGTAAGGATAGGGCTCTCCGTTTATTAATGGATACACTGCAGGCTCTAGAATAATACGTGCACAAAGGAGGCACTCCCAAAATGCTCTTGAACGTGTAAAAGTCAGGAAGAGATCCCACATCTCAAGTGTCTCCTCCCTTCAACTTTCACCCAATTATTCAATCAATACATTATTCACGACAGGTGAGTAAATGGCCAAAATTTAACTTTATCCCTAATTTTGTTGCACGATTTTGTAACCCAGTGGTTTTTATCAAAGTGTATTCATTAATAATTCAGAGGGTCTGTTCACCGCTGAAGTTCTACTACAACCCTCTGGCTTACCCCAACAATCATAATCTGAGTTTCTACCCATATTTATAGTGGCCATATAAACTGTCCCTACAGGGGATGCCTGGGTGGCTCAGTCAGTTAAGTGGCCAACTTCAGCTCAGGTCACGATCTCATGGTTCCTGAGTTCGAGCCCCACATCAGACACTCTGCTATCAGTGCAGAGGCCGCTTCCTATCCACTTTGGATCCTCTGTCTCTCTCTGCCCCTCCCTGCTCTTGCTCGCTCTCTCTCTCTCCCTCTCAAAAATAAACATTTAAATAAATAAATAAATAAACTGTCCCTGTAGAATTTCCTCAAATTAGAGTGAGCCATGGCAAAGGTTTATCACACTTTGTTTTTTTCTGAAGGTGAAAGTCTAATGCCAACTGGTATCTAATTTTTCCTCATTGCAAATTCAATCATTCATCTTCAATACAGTTTTCATCCTTTCCAGACCCTGTGAAAGGTGATCCAAAGAGCTAAAAAGGTCACTTATCATGTGTTGGTGATTAGCAAATCACGGCAAATTATGAGGTCCTGGTACATGCTGTGACTGGTCACTAAGGGCCGTTTCAACATGGGCTGACCTTGCCTTTAGGCCTCCTTGCCTTGAGCATAAATCCAAAGACTTAAAGACTAAGTCTAAAAACAACAACAACAATTAAAAAACCAAACAAACAAAAAACAACGACTAAGTCTGATAGTTTTAACAACAAAAAGTTTTGCTATAGATTTTGAATTTCTGTGGGGTATGAGTTTGCTGGGATTATGTCATTCTGGACTCATCGCTCTGTCCCAGGGAGGTCTGTCTGTTCCCTTGAGCAGCTGCTTTTCCTCTGTTCACTGATGGTACCTTGGAATTCCTTTCTGGACCTCAAAAGCTTTTCTCCACCCACTGCTTACTCTGGCGCTTTATCCCAGTAGCAACCAGGGTTGAATCAGGAGAGCCAATTCCCCATTCAACTCCTAACCTCTAAATAACCACAAGCCATTGTCCTATTCTTTCTCTACCTCAAGTTTCACATAAAAAAGTGAGAAAAACATTACACTTTTTACTTCTTTTCTCAGATACATTACAGAGATGAATATAACATGTGGAAAGTTTTGTGAAATAAAAATCCTACATAAATGTCAACACACTTTCATCGTTATTTATAACAAATTTAAGTCATGATATTTCAGTAGAACAAAATGCACATTTCTTTGTCATTTCTCACATCACTTCTTTAGTTAGAAAGAGATCATTAATTCTATTTTTGATAGGGTATTAAATAGGCCCAAATGAAGAATCTAGAGGCTAACCTGGTATCATACAGCAATCAGTTCTGTGTTTAGCCACCACTGTACTATTTCATGCCTGTTAAAAATTATAGATAATGGACTTAATTGAAAAATTATATTAGCCACTATTTTTTTTTTAATTTTATTTTTCCTAAAAGAGTATATTGAGTGGTGCCTGGGTGGCTCAGTTGGTTGGGTGACCGACTTTGGCTCAGGTCATGATCTCTCTGTTTGTGAGTTCGAGCCCCGTGTCGGACTCTGTGCTGACAGCTCAGAGCTTGGAGCCTACTTATGATTCTGTGTTTCCCCCTCTCTCTGCCCCTCCCCTGCTCACGTTCTGTGTCTGTCTCTCAATAA